AAAAAAAGACTTACAATGGTCTATCACAGTCCATCCTAAATCTTGAACATTTCTTTTCATAGGGCTATGTCTCTATTATTTCACAGGGAAAGGTATTAGATTCAAAAATTTTTTTTACAGATAACCTGTTATGAGGATCATTTGATTGCATGCTTACCAGGTTTTCCCACATATACATTGAATTTAAATTCTTAGTTCCAAGTTAATTTTCACTTACTAATTGATAAAATATTATCTGAGCATGTACTAAAGAATGAATTTTTGCAGCTTAGTGAGATAAGTCATTCATACTCTAACAAGGATATTTTAAACAGAGCTGGTTATTCCTTCAGGAAAACCATATTCAGATCAAACTAATTTCCTAAATGACATAAACGGAGTGAGCAGCGTTCAGGTGTCTTATGTAACTGACTTGAGTACTGACGGCTTAGGACTAGATGATGGAATGACAGGGAAAGGGGAAGCTGAATCTTTGAAATGGTAAAAATTATCATTTAAGAATCACAGTAAATATCACCTGCCAGGTATTAAAATGATTAAAGGGCTTATTTTTTCCACACTCCTATTGTGATAAGTTTTATAAACAAATAATTTTAAGTACACTAACCTGTTCAGCACCAGTAATTAGTTGAGGAAAACAAACACAAATATTCTTGAAGAGAGAGCAAACCCTGAGGGAATTCAGTCCTCTGAAATTATGCTAAGTGTATATTGAAATAATTTGGAAGACTGCTACCCACCCCCACCCCCCACCCCCCAAAGAAAAATCTCCTTTATGTTTTTCTGCTGTTTTCTCTCACACATACCTCCTGTAGCAGCTAACTGACAGGATTATCCGCTCACACAGGTGGACCTGGTGATGGCTAAAACCATCTGGAATATTTTGGGTTTCACTGGAAGAATTCAGAGTCTATAGTATCTGTGAACGGAAAGGGCACTGGACTGTCAGGCATTAACTTTGCCACTAAGTAGTTATGGGATTTGCTTCTGTCACTTCATTTCTTTGAATTTTAGTTTCCTTATATAGCAAATACAAAAATGAGAATTAAATGATCTCCAAGGCCTATTCTAACAACTCCCAAGTTTTAACTTTAGATGGTTTTGAACACTTTTTCACAAAGAAGTCTCTAACGTTTAATGCTTTTGTAAGATAAACTAAAAATATGTAGGAACCAGTGATATGATAGGATAATATTTTTTAGTATCTCCCAGTAGATATTCCATTATTGTTAAACTAGCTTCTCTCCTGTGTTCCATCCACCATTATGGCTCCAAAAAAGGGAGCACAGTAGATGTCATCACAAAAAAATGAAGAGGATGTGGTACATAAGGAAAGCTCTTGTCACACAAGAAGAATAAAAATAATCTTTTTAAAAACTATTTTATTAAAATACATATTTTACAATGTTACATTAGAAAAATCCATCTCTTATAGCCCTAAGAGATCATGGAAACAAGAAATGGGAACAGAAAGATGTAATCAGACTCAGTGTGCTTCCTTCCTGTCCCTTCTCAGTGTGGCAACTAGAGTTGGCAGTATATAGTTGAAGTATTCACAGAGATATGGGGAAATCCAAGAAAAATGGGGATAATGGTTTGCTTCTCTCGGCATGCCTGTGAGAGGCTGAGTCCTCTAGGATCTCTGCTTTCAGCTTAATGGCATGTTCCACATGACATAGGGAGAAAAATGCAGCATCAGTGAAGGGAGGTGGCTCAGTAGATGAGCCTGAAGCAAAGTTCCTGGCTCATCAAGGCCTACATGGGATATTCTGGGAAACCAGAAGTTCCCACGTTTCAGTGAGAAGATGGAATGGCATCATGAGAATCAATGGACCTGCGGAGGCCTGGGGTCAGGACAGAGGTTGCAGTGTATAAGGCAAATGGTTCAGTGTGGAAGCAGCACAACTCTCGAAAGGACAGAAGGAGCAGTTTTATCTCTGAGGCTAGCAGTTCTGCTTTCAGACTATACCAGACACTCCACAGTAAAGGACAACACAAGGACTAGCATGCGTGGCTCAGGGGTTTTCCTTGATGCCCTGCTGACCTTCCCATCCCACAGGCTTCTACCAGCCCACTAGTTACTGTGTGAATTAGAAAAAGGCACTATCAAGGCATTTTACTTCCACCTATCAGAAAATTATCATAATATACTGGTTTTGTTAAAATAAGGCATCTTACTGCCACATGCCGGAGAACTATCATTCCAAGTTTATTACAACTTGGAAATGTAGGCTATCGAAGATGTGACATTCCGTCTATGTACACTTTACATAGAATCCCTCAACTCCCATGTATATCTTCGAATGACAGGGAAATGGGAAATCCGTAAGATTCAGTACTTAACTATAAAAGAAAAGGGATAACGTGGGGACTCAAAACCACTGCAATGATGTAAAGTAATTAGCCTCCAACTAATAAAAATAAATGAAAAAAAAAAAGATAAGCTACAGAGAATAAGCTACGTTTTCTCTGTACCTCTGAATTAACTAAATCAACTACCACACCAAAATACAAACTATGCCCCATATTTTGCAATTTATTATATATTTTGCTACCTCCCATAGCACTTTACATAGCAATGCATACACAGAAGGAAGCAATAAATGCATGCTGGAAAAAAAAGTAAATTTTCAGAAAAAATCAGAGTTATGGATCCACTTATAATATGTACAATAGCATGTCATTTTCCTCTTTTCCGGCTACATTTATTTGAACCAAATCTAAAATTTTACCCATTTGTACCGTGCTAACCACCATAAATAAACATTTGCAGTTCTTCATTGTAAGCCTCCCTCCTCAATTTCTTTCTCGAGAAGGAAACTTAGATCTAAGTTTCTCCATTGTCAGGACCAAAGAGAGCTCATCCCAAAATTAGAGAATGTTTTAAAATTAAAAACTGTATTATGTAATCCAAAGTAAATTCTTATTTAAAGTGAGGGAACCCTGAAAGTTAGAAATGTATTTTGCCCAGAGGCATACATCAACTCAGAGACTCAAACACCCTACACAACAGTGGCTCTTACTGTTCCTCTCTCCCCTCCCAAAACACACACTTCCCCGCTCTTACCCCTACTTCTCTTATTGTACTTTGTAACCACTTAGCCATCCAACTCAAACCTGACAGCACCTAGTCAAACTGAAATGAGAAAGAAATCACCTGAAGATCGAAAATCAGAGAATCAGGTAAAGTGCCAGTTTTACATTTCCATAAGGTGATAAACAAAAGAGCGGAAAGAACCGAGAAAGGATACTTTTTCAGTCATCACAACAGCAGCGAGGGAATAAAAACACGTTTTCCCTGGGGAGAGATTATCTTGAGGGGACCAGATACTGACACAAAAGATAATTCCCCTTGGGGCTTTTCTTTTTCTCTGAGTTTGTTAGATCTAAAAAAAAAAAAAAAAAAAAAATTAAAACGTTTATCACATAAACAATCACAATCTCAATACATTTACTTCTCTTTTCTCACCTATTATTTCCCCAAACATTATAGAGACCGCGTCTTCAATAAGTAAACTGACCAAAGGTCTATTCCCTATTGATCACAATCTTTTTAAGATACTCCTTTTAGACTACAAGTAGGAACCGACTTCTAACTTCGGTTCCCGAGCTCAAAGCTCGGTAAAGTGGATCTTCAAGGTTTAGCAAATACCCTCAGCTGAATTAAAGGGTACAGAGTCTCTAGCGCTCCCTACAGCTCAGAGTTTGAACCTACCTACCACAAAAAACCCCAGTTATCAAAGACTGGCTACCTCGCTCTACTTTTCTTTTCCGCTTAAAAAATCGGATGGGGGGGGGTGGGGAGAGGTTGAAACGGCGAACCGAAGGATTAATCACTTCTCCCCATTACATCAGCAGCCCCCGCCCTTTCCTCCGAGCACCTCCTCTCCTAGAATCGTCGCTACGCACTAGCGCTCTCTTCATCCACCCCCCGCGCTATTATATGCCCTGATACCTCCCCATTATCACCCGCCCCACCACACTCCCCATCTCCTCCTTCCCCCACCTCCTTAGCGGGGGAGGGAGGAAACCCGAGAGAGGAAACAGGGCGTTGAAGGAAGGGACTTGGCGATAAGAGCAGAGGCCCCATTGGCCCGAAGGTTGTATGAGCGCCTTCCATTGGCTCCTTGGCCGGAATCCCCGCCCCTCTTCTTCCCCGCCCCTTTGCCCCTTCCCCCGCCGCTCCACGGCCCTCCCCCGCGCCCCTGGCCAGCCCCGCGGCGGGGAGGGACCGACTGGGCGAGTGGTGGCTCCGGCGGTGTCAATGGCTCCTCCTGCCACGGAGCAGCAGCAGAAGCAGCGGCGACGGGGCTGAGGAGGAGGAGGAAAGGCTCCTTTAAGGAGGAGGAACGACGACGCCTCTTTTTCCCCCTATCTCCTCCCTTCACACTCATTTCCCCTTCGCCGAGGAGAGAAGGGGGGGAGGAGAGAGAAGAGGCCGAAGAAAGAAAAAATTCCTCTCAGAAATCTCTTTCAGGGGGTGTGGGGGGAAGGAAGAGAAAAAAAAAAAAAGAGCCGGGCGCCCCCTGCTCCCTCCCTCCCTTCTCTCCCTCTCTTCTCCTCCTTCTCCCTTCCTCACCCGCCCGCCCACTCCCCCCCGCCGCCGGAGACGCCGCTCGGGAGTCGGCGGGACCAGGGTCTGTCTCCTCAGCCGCCGACGCCGCGCTTCGCCTCAGGATCCCCAGGCGGGCGGACGCCCTTTCTTTCTTTCTCTCGCTCTGCCCGTCTTTCTGTCTCCGTCCCTCGCGGCCGCCCCGCCCGGCGGCCTCGGCCTTCCCCGTGCGTCAGGCCCGCCCGCCTGGCCTCGCTCGGTCTCTGTCTCCGCGGGCCTTTCTCTTGACTCGGGGTCCCGCTCGCCCCTCCGCCCTTACCATCTCCCCTTCCCCTCGCCCCCTTTCCTTCCTCCCCCCTCCCCACCCCCTTCTCCCGCTCCGTAGCTCGCGGTCCGTGTGCGTGTGTGTGTGTGTCCCTCCGCCAACGCCGCCACCTCAGCCCGGCAAATGAACTCCGTCCGAGCCGCCAACCGGAGACCCAGGCGAGTGTCGCGGCCGCGCCCGGTGCAGCAACAGCAGCAGCAGCCCCCGCAGCAGCCGCCGCCGCAGCCGCCCCAGCAGCAGCCGCCGCAGCAGCAGCCTCCGCCGCCGCCGCAGAGGCAGCAACAGCCTCCGCCGCCGCCACCGCCGCCTCCGCCGCTGCCCCAGGAGCGGAACAACGCCGGCGAGCGGGGTAAGGCCGCGCTCCTTCCCTGCCGCCCGTCGGCTCGGGCGCCCGGCCGGCGAGACCCGCGGGGAGGGAGGCCGGGGCGGGCGGGGGCGGCTTGTGCGCCTGGGGGGTGGGAGAAGGGAGGCCGAGCGGAGGCGGGTCCCCCGGTGCCGCAGTGTCAGCTCAGCCCGGGCCCCGGCCCCGGCCCCGGCCGGCAGGAAAAGCCGCGGCTTCCCGACTCGCCTGGGCTCTTAGCTCAGGCCGCGCTTTGTTTGGTTTCGGGGGCTCGGCACCCTCTCCCCCGACCCATCCCTCTGGTTTTTGAGCTCCCTTACGGACCCCGCTGGAGTCTGTTGGTGGGTGGGGGGAAGGCGAAGGGTGGGATCTCTCCCTTTTCGTCTGCCTTCCACGGTTTGGTCTCCTGTTTCTAATGGAAGATGGGGGCGACAACTGGGAGTGATCGGGTGGTTAGGGCTGGCTGGGGAACTTGTTTTTCCCCCTTTTCTCTGTTAGCCTCCCCCTTCCTGTGGAGGAGGGGAGTGGGGGAGTTGGAGTGGTCGGTGGTGTTGGCCGGGGAACTTGTTTCCCCCGCCCCCCCGCCCCCCCCCCCCCAGTCACGGGGTAGGGGGAGCGGCGACTCTTCTCCCAACCTCATAATGTTTGCTGCGCAGTTTGGCTTTAGTTACAGAACCCCTGGGAAGGACCCGTTAAATTAAGACCTTTAAATAAATAAATATAGAATCCATCGGCCATTTCCAGCCCCCTCCCTCGCGTGCGGTGCAGTTACCCTTGCGCTCTATCGACTCCCCTTCTCGCTTGTCCTCCCCTAGGATTACCCCCACGCCACCATGCTGCCCCTCCGTCTCCCAGTGGGATTTGAACGCCCCTTCCTTAGAACTGACCCCTTGTGGGAGAGAGTGCGTGTGTTTGTGCCTGTGTGTGTTGTGTCCAGGGCCTAGTGAAATGTGTCATTTGGACCCAACTGTGTAGCTCTGTCTGGTAACCACCATTGTCTTAAGGGCTGAAGCTCCCGGGGGTTGGATTCTTGCTTTAGCAAAAATAATGTTCAGTTCTACTTTGATGATGTTATTTGGGGCGGTTTTGGAGATGGGGTGTTGTACCTTGATCTCCAAATGTAACTATTCTGTTTGTTAATTAGCTGCTCTCAGTGGGGGTGGAGGTCAATACCATATTTATGTGTAAGGTTGTTGTTTAAGGAGGAGGGGAATTGTTAGGAGACATTTTGCGTGTTTTCGTTGGCGGATTAAGGTTAATTTTACGTGCGTTGGTTGTCACACCTCCTTTGGCTGAGGGAATTAAGATTAAATACCTTTTGAAAATCATACATTCTTTCCTTAAAAATTGTTTCTTTGTTGTACATGATCAAAATACCGAACAAGTGAAAGAGGGAGACGATAATTGAAAAATAGTTGAAACGGTTTTCACTGGTTACTGTTACAGATAGTCCTTGTGAAAGCAGTTTACTATACGTTGCTTGAAAGGATGTGTTCAAGCCAGTTAGAGGTCTTGTGCTGCATTACTGGTAAATGTGTTTTAATGTTTCTTTGATATATTTACAGGTTTTTTTTTTAATTAAAAATACAGTTTCATCATTTCCTTTTGTATTTGCATATCAGGGTTCTCCTGTGTTTCATTCAAATAATAGTCAAGTCTCAGAATTGACACTGTATGTAATAGAGTTGACTTTTTTTTTAAAGCAATGACATTGGGTTGAAATCCTAAGATGATAAGGATTCTATTGCTAGAAGTAAGCTTTTTGAAGATGTATTGATTTGTTAATTACATTAACAGTGAATCAGACTGTTTCAGCCAAACTTAGTCTGATTGTGTATTTTTAAATGTTAAATCTGAATCTTTTCATTTGTGTGTATTTTCAACTTAATTGAGGTACTTATATTTGATCACTTAATTTGTTTAAAATTATTAGCTACTAAAGTCTATTTCCTTTTGAAGTAAAGTGACTTAGTAGTTGGCAGTCACATGCCAGTATCATTTTTCTTTTCATTGATATCCATAAACTAAGATGTTCGTGAATCAGAATTTCAGTATGTACCCAACCAAATGGTGAATCAAATTCACTGTAGAATTGTTGTTGCTTTGCTGCTGTTAGTAGAAACTGTTCTATGTTAGCACAGAGAGGAAAAGAACTGATGATTAGCCTTCAGGGAAAATGCTATGGGTCTTTTTGGAGGGCAAATAAATGGCCTTAAGATGAATTAAAAGACCAAAATTAGAAAAAGTTTGTTAGTGTTATGTAAAAAATAGTAATTCTTTGAAAATTCGCATTTTTTATTAATTTTAAATGTACAGTTTGCATAATGATCAGAAGCTAGCAGTTTTACGGAGTATGCAAAGTGTCACTATTTCTGGTTTGAATAGGAAAGGTTTGGTTGTTGTTGGTTTGAAAATAGCGGGTTTCATAATTTTGACAAGGTAATTAAGGAACTACAGCTAAGCTTATGCATGCGCCTGTTTGAGTTTTTACTAACTCTTAATGGATCTGTAACTCTTGCATTAGAATCTTGGATAGAGTTACATAATAGTGGATCAGTGAGTTTTCAGAGTAGGGAACTGAAGTGAGACTCACTGTTAAGACAAGTTAACCCAATCTGTATATAAAATCACTTATTTCATGTAAAGGGTGGACTTTAGGCTTCTGAGTGGTAGTAAGTTACAGGAAAGTATTTTTTTCAAGCAAAAATTCTGTCGGAACTGGTTTTTAGTTGCGTCTTTGCCCACAGGTTAATTAGTCTTAAAAACTTCCTTGATACCTCCTTTAAAAATGTGTATATATTTGAGTGTTGTAATGGCCAGTGTTTGAAAAAGAAAGAAACAATCAGTATGGAGTGAAATCTTATGAGGACTTTTTAAAGGCAGGAGATTTGCTTACACCCCAAATGGGAAATAATCAGTCTGGGTCTTCCATGGAATGCTGTCGTCTTGCATGTTATCTGAAACGGTCTGCTGTTTAAAGATGGAATACAAATCATTAGCATTTTTAGGCTTTTATTTTAAATCTTGGGTTTAGGATTTCACATACCACTTTCAGCTAGTAGAAAATAATTTGTCTTCCACATAGGAATCTTTTGATACTATATTCCAACTTCAGTGAAACTGAAAGTATGTGGGGTTGGATTTTATATATTTGTTTTCTTTTAAAATCCTGAATGAGTTTTTGCAACTTGTTCTGCTGAATTTATCATGAAATCTATTTGGCAGTCTTGTTTTAGAAATATGTCTGAGGAACGCTTACACATCTGCAGAAGTGATATGTAGTCTGAGTATTTTTAGGTTTTAGTTGAAATTGATTACTTTGATTAGGTATTAAATGCACATGATTTAAAATTCAGAAGTCTCTTTCCTACAACTGCCTTCAGCTCCCAAATTTTCCTACCTGGAATCAACCTATTGATTATTATGTCTTTTATTAGTTTCTTATTTATTATGTTTTAATAAAAGATAAAGTTTGACTTCTGAAAATCTTGATATGAAAGTTTTCGGAAATAAGTGTAATTTCCCAGTTATTGGCAAATTCATAAAGTTGAAATGTTGAAATTTTAACTGGATTATCATATATAGTTCAAGAATTTAATGAATTAAAACAGTATATTGGTGGATTTTGCTATTTCTAGTCTGAAATAATCAGAGTAAAAATGTAATCAATCTCTGTAATCTCCTATTTGTGAGATTAAAATCTCACCTATGATCCTGGATTTATAGTTACTGCTTCTTTTTTTTTTTAAGTGAGCTTTTAAAATAATTCAGTGTGTGTATAATATTACATAAAATATTGCTTAGTGGCTGCATATTCTATGGAGAGTCAGGAAGCTGTTTAGTGTTCTAGTCATGTGTCCTAGTTACACTTTTCTGTGGAGTTGTCCTAGCCCATTATATTTTACCTTTAGGTTCTCCCTACTACTTACTTACAGAGTAAGGAATTTCTGCAATCTTTCTAGATAGAAGAATTCTGGACAAGGAATCTGATTTTTCCTCTTTTAGGAATTAAGTACCATGAGTCACTGCTCTTCCATCTTGTGGCTAACCCTTCGAAATATTTACATCCCGTAAGAGGAATGCCACTTAACTGTGTGTTGCGGGCTGGGGGGTGGGGGGCTGTTTTCTCAACACTTAAAAATTATTTGAGGAATAGAAATGCGATAGTGACAATACTGATGTTAGAGTTCTGCTGGTAAGGCCTAAGGCCTGTCCCTATACTGCTTGCCTCTTTTTTTTTTTTTTTTTTTAACTGGAAATTCTGGCAAACCCAAGGAAAGGCTAACCAGCTTGGAGACCTATCAGGTAAGGCAAGAATGACCAGTAGATCCTGACCTGTTAGTGAGGATCCCTGAACTTAAATTTGGCAAAATCCAAAGCTAGTGAGTATTTTCTGTCTTTTCCTCTGTTTGTTTTAATTTTGGAAATAATTTATAATAAGTTATTTCACCTTGAGGTCTCTTACTGTCTTAATTGTTCTCTTTTTTATTCCTAGCTAGTTACTCTTATTTTGTGTCTTGTCTTGTCCAGTTGGTCTCTGAAGGGTTACAATGTTTTAGACCTTCCATTTCTTAAGTTTTATCAGTCATTGAAAGTGCATTCTTGTCTTCCAGAAAACTGGTTATTTTGTGAGGTTGTAAGCAGGGTACTCCCAAATTGTAGTTGTTGCCCTCTGAAAGCAAATTTATAAGGGCGTAAAATATAAGGGATGAGATAGTTGGAGATAGTATGTTGGGAAGAGCTCAGAGTTAGAGCTAGCTAGAGGTAGGTTCTAAACTTAGCCACACCACTAATGAGCTGTGTGTGTGTGACATGGGGCAAGAAGTGTAACCGCTCTGAGCCTTACTCTGTTATCTTTAAAATAGGGATGGTAACACTTGTCTGACAGTAATTTTTTTTTCCATTTATTTTTATTAGTTGGAGGCTAATTACTTTACATCATTGCAGTGGTTTTTGCCATACATTGAAATGAATTAGCCATGGATTTACACTGACAGTAATTTAAAGAT